TATCTGAAGCTGGAAACAAGAAAATTATGAATTGCATTTGAAATGTTTAACCCTTTATTTAATTGTTTTGCAATGTCAACTCTATTAGGATGTTGGAAGTTTGCATAAACTAATTTCAACGTGAGAAAATTTAATAGAAAATGTTGCATTACATTAACTAATCAAAGTTGGAGAGTGTTTTGAGGTCCTAGATGATTTGTGGAATTAGGATTATATCAGTGATATTCAATTCATGTAGCAGGTACCATGTTTGACAGAAAAAATGGATGCTGCCCTATAAACATGAAACATCCCAATTCTGGTAGTTAAAAATTCTTTGGATGCCGTCAGGGCCGGCCAACATGAAGGCACATATGTCGTGTTGGAACACACTGTCCTGACTTCTTCAAAATTGACATGGGCAAGCAATTGAGAACACTAGTAGAACAAAAAATTCTTGTGTAGTCTGAATTGTATTAAATTATATAATTTAAATAAATAACTAAGAAATGAATTTCTTGATATTGGGGCTGTCCAACTAGCCAACAACTCCTATTTTGCAGTCTCAAAAATCTATCATTATTTAAACAGTGAAATGATAATTTTTATTTTGTGAAAATAAGATGTTTTGAGATTCAATTGTACAATATATTGATAAGTGTAGCATAAAATATTAGTGGTAAATATATTCTTTCTAATACTGTTGTTTACACCATAAATTGCATTTTAAGTAATGCCACGTGTTAATGGATAAGGTGAGATCAGATTTATTGAAGGAATGCATATCTATACAATTAGTTGAGAGGATAAAAATTATCCAATTTGTTGTTGTTTGAATTTAAAAGAAACATCATTCCCTAGAATTTAGGAGGAAGTTATTATCCATGATCTGAACAACTAGCAAGTGACGCGGGGAGGCAGTTGTTAGGAAGCGTATAAATAGAAGGTTTCTGACTTTTCAACACACATGATCAGCCCTACACCAAAGCAAGTCAAATTTTCAATTCTCTAGTTTCGTAGTGATTGCTCACCTTAGCTTTCATATTTCAGTTTTAGCACAGATTTCAGTAAATTTAAGTTGTTTTCAGCATTCAAGTACCCAAATTAGTTTTGTAATTGCTTCTTTAATTTCCTTTCATGCAATAAACATCAAGTTTACTCCAATTTACATTTCATTTAGTTCATTTTGGACCTATTAACTTAAATTCACTGTATTGATAAAGTCCTTAAAATTGTCCAAGGCAGATTAACAACCCATTCTATAGGAAGGCATCCCTTCCTCTTGCAAATTGTCTGAAAAGCGCAAAACTCAATCTTAAATCAACATTCTTCTAACCATCCTAACGGAGGTCGACTGCGTGGAAGGAGAGGATCATTAAGAAAATCCTTTTTTCTTGCTTCTCAGAAAAGTAAGTGGCACGCCCGCATCTAGATTTTGCATGTGCAAAGCCACTTGAGAATTTTTGAAAAAACAATCCTTTTGCGGAAACAATCCTTTTGCGGCATGCCCAGTGGGACCCCATTGTGTCTTACTCACATTTTCTAGATCCACTTTTTCTATATCCAAAAAAGAGGCGTTGCTATGCCACCACAAGCTAAACATGCAAATGATAGCCCACTCTACTATGAGGGAGAAAATGACCTCATTAGTTTTCCTCGACTGTCACCTTTGGCAAACAATCTTATGGAAATCCAATATTAAAGGAGAAAGAGGTAGATTGTTGGGGTGACTTTGCTAAATCAAGTAACATGATCAGAAGCTTGACTGAATGTATGGAGTTAGCATGTAGAGAGCATACCCAAGCTATGAAGAAATTCATCGAGAGTCAAGCAGAATCTTCCAAATGTCATGAGGAGGCAATAAGACAACAAATGGTTGAACTCAAATGGGTTTTTGAGAAAGGCACTAATGTAATGAAAAAAACAAGGGATGAAAGTCGTAGAACATTGTAGGCTATTTCAGATCAAGTTGTTAAATAGGTGTATAAACCCAGACCAAAAGTACCACTACCAGCTCAGGTGGTGGACCCTCTCAGGCAAGTCCAGAATCCACCAACTCCAACGCTCGAGGGGCAAGTCAATCAACCACATTTGCCTCCATAGAACCAACCGGTAGTTGGTGGGTCAGTGTAGTTAGAACCAATAGAGGTTGCACAATGTGTAGTAGATCTGGAAAATCAACAATAGATGTAAGAAAAAATCGACAGAGGGATTCTGTTGTTTCCAGAAAAGGCTAAGGAAACAATGAGAGTTAATGTAGACCCATTCCCTAACTTGTCCGTTGGAGTGAACTTGGCAGATCTCTAAAACCTTATCAAGGATTGAAATTGATCATACTCTAAGTGTAGACTTATAGTTGATGACTTGAGATGGGTCGTTAAAGAGGCCATAACTCGCAAAGATCAAGCTAGATTAGATCCTCCATGAGGAAGAAGGCACGGGGGGCATGATCCAAAGCAGCAAAAAGCTAGTCCAAGTTAGAATGTTGTGAAATTTGGCTATGTAGAATGACCTAGAATGGTGAAACTACTGCTTAGACCTCCTAGCCAGAAATGGGAGTGAGTGGTTCATCTAAAGTTTCCTAAGGCTTAGAATCCCAGAACTTTGAGGTGGCGCTTACAATGTAAGAGAGCAAAAGAAAGGTGCCGGCAGTAGATGGAGAACTTAGGGGGCGTGGCAGATCTAACTCAATCGCTCCCAACTAGAATGAAATCAGTATGGGTCCCAAAAGACAAAAATAGGGCATCAAGCCAAACATCACCAGAAGATGAAAAATAGCCCAAAAGTCCAACTTCTCCCCAAGTTCTAACTGTGGATACAAGTGAGGAAACTGGCTTGAAAGCAATGTTCAAGGTGGTAGAAGAAATGGAGGATTCAGTAAAGTAGGAAACCATCCAATTTGGTGAGTTTTTTTTGTGAATTTGTCTTGTTTGGTGCTTACCTTTCCTCTAGTTTTCTAAGCCAAAGAAGAACCAGAATTTGCTAATTATCAGTAGGTAGATCAGGTTAAGGAAGGAATTATTGAAATCTTAGCAAAAGAGGATGAAAATGAGATTTCAAGAGACAAAATTATTTTTGAGAAGCCAAAAGAAAGGATGGCTAAACATATAAGGCCATTATACATTCATGCTCACATGGATGAGATGCCAGTTAATCGAGTTCTAGCAGATAATGGTGCTGCTGTCAATGTGTTGCCAACTTGTATGTTACACAAAATTGGCAAATCTTTGAAAGATCTGATCGTGACAGAAGTGACAATTAGTGACTTTACAAGTAGACTAAATCGCTCAAAGGGAATTTTGTCGGTAAAGCTCATTGTGGGAAATAGAACTCTCATGTGTGCATTTTTTGTGGTTGACATTGTAGCCACTTATAATGCATTACTTGGTAGAGATTGGATCCATGCTAACTAGTGTGTTCCTTCAACTTTGCACCAGAACTAGTGAGCAAGCTCGTAATGCTCCACATCTTAGGTACAACTTGTCCTTCTGGAATCATCTAAAGTTTGGCATTCCCTCCACTCTTATAGTCACTGCTATTGGTTTGACACTCATAAGGTGATAACACTGTTTAAATTACACGGTCGCCCCTCCTGATGCATGTATGTATGTTCATTTGGCTACAAAATTATTGGTGTCTATACTATACGTCCCCCTTCCTTATTGAGAGAAGGGAAAACGAGCTGAAAATAGGCCTATAAGTGTTATGTTTCATCTTTTGTACCTTCCATATAGTTCTTTTTATGAATTGTGTGAAAATTATGCATATGGGTTTTAGTATAAGATTTGCATCGTCTAACTTCAAAAGTTGGTAATAAGTAGAGTAGCTCACTTTTTATTATACACTCGATGTGGGATTTTTTTACATTGGGTAACAATAGGCTTTCTAGGTTTTAATACCACACGAAAATTGTGTATTTGAGTTTTGCCACAAGTTTTGTATTTAACTTAAAATCAATTGGTAATAAATGAAGTAACCCTACTTGTATTCAAACCACATGCTTTTTTGTTATACATTTGATGTACGATTTTTCCATTCAATATTATCAAGTTAAATCAACACAATTCTTTCATTTTCATGACATTCATTTAAAAAAACCAGCTTTTTGAAGTCTTATGACAATCCACTTTAATATTCTTACATGTGTTTTATCTCTTAGGCTTGACCTTAAGACTCAAT